TCGAAGCCTCGCCCTGAACAACAGGGACGTGATATTATCATACCGCACTGACGCAGCTGCAAAAGCACACGGAAGAATTCTCCCATGCCAATGCGCTCACCGCAATAGTTTTTGGGAAAGGGCGAAGATGGTTGCCACCCACGCTCCATGCGGACAACGGCATGTGGATGAGTGAGGGAGGAAGGGGACAGAGGAGGATAAGGAGGGGGATAAGGCCAAGAATTCAAGGCCACGGCTGGCTACAGTCAACCCGTATAAGAAGGATGCGCGGTAAGGGATGCCGGGCCGTTGGGGCCATGTTCGCGTTTGTCGACTGAGGATGGCCAGCGAAAGTATCTGAGGATGGGCCGAAGGGGCAAGGATGCAAATGTAACCCTAGAAAGGATGCCCATCCATACTATGCGGGTTGACTGTGCTGCCTGTGCTGCAGGTGATGCATTCATGTGGCGGTGCGCGGCCACGACGACATGCTTTGGCGGGTGCATTTGCAACGGTTACCATGTGCCTATAGGCTCAGGCGCTAGACTTGAGCCTTGGCAATAGGTCCGCTGAACATTGCGCATGAACGGCACTGTGAGGGCCCAGAACAGTAGGTCGTAGATCCGAAATGACAGAAAGCTGTGGAAATATTGAAGCAAGATATTCGAGGCAATCCACGCCCCCAACGTTCCATCCGCCCCCGATCTTGCTGACACAACCAGCAGTTCTTCCTGGATCATATAACAGGCGCGATTCCGTACGAGGTGCCCTCAGCCATGTTGACGAAGATCGGCGAGACACCGAGGGCGAGAATCGCGGGAACCACCCCGACGTCCTTGGTCACGAAGCCAAGCGCGAAGAGGGACATCGCATCACCGAAGAGCGCCAAGACGTGTGCACAGAGACGACCAGATATGTCACAGCGTTTGTTACGCACGTCGGCCAGCGACCATGGTGGCGACGGCGACGGCGGCGGCGACACCTTCGACGACGACGTCGATCGACGGCGGCGGCGACGACGACCGACCGACGCCGACGGCGACATCGACGGCGACGACGATCCGGTCGCCGGCCGACGGCGACCCGCGAGCCCCTCCCGGGGATGGCGGCCGCCGCCGGCCGCGCGGGGTGCTGCGCCGCGGCGCTCGCGGGCGCTGCCGCCGGGCCGCCGCGCGCGGCCTCCGCCCGGCGGCTCGCCAGGAGGGCCTCCGGCCGACGTCGAGGACGACGATGACTACGACGTCGACGTCGTCGCCGCCGCCGTGGGCGCGGTCGTGGGCACTGTCGTCGTCGCTGCCTGGCGGCGACGCCGCACCCCGTCGGTCGTCGCCGCCGTGACCGTCGTCACCATCGTCGGGTAGCCGCCAGCTGGGGGCTCGCCAGGAGAGCCTCCGACTGACGACGAGGACGAGGACGACGATGGCTGCTGGCTCGCCAGGCCTCCAAACCCTCTCTGGGGCGTCCCGCAATCTGGAGCGCTTCTGGGGCGTACCTCTCTGGAGACCTTGAGGCGGACGAGGTCACCACACTTCGCGCATTGCGCCCCGCGGTGCGTGATCATCTTCGTACCTTCGCGCCGCCACCTTGGAGAAGGGTAACCGCCCTGGCGCAGATCGCGACTCGCGATCGCTTCTACGTTTGTGGCGCCTCTAAGAGGCTCCTCGTCGCCATGGCTGGACCCGCCTCAAAACTCGGCCAGGACCGCCCGAACCGAACGACAGATCCATCAGCGGATTCTTACCCCTTGGCCACCCTTCTGGCGTCGTGGAAAATAGTGCGACGAGAGGTCTTGGGCGCTTTTCGGACTCTGGATGTCCTCGCTGGCCCCCTGGGCCGACGGGCTGTCGACCCGGTGACCCCGGATGGAGAGCCGATGCCAGGGAAAGAGGTCCAGCGCTTCATAGTGTCCAGGTTGCGAAGAGATCACGACGTCGCAGGCCTGGGAAGACGACGACGACGACGTCCTCATGTCCAAGGCTGGTTCCTCCTCGACATCATAGCAAGATGGTACCCCAGGAGAGGTCCGAGATGAGGAGGAGAGGAGGCTCGACGTTCGAGAAAACCGGGCTATCTGGGACGAGACACAGGTCCACCAAAAAGCGTGTCCCGATCTTCTTTTGCACTGACCAGCATCGGGATGCCCGAGCGGTACCCTAATACTGGAAACAAGCACATGCCGATGCCGCTGCTCCCCCGACCTCTCCCGCCCGGGGGGGCGTTCTGGCCAAGATTCCGAAGCGAATTCAACTCTGGCGACGAGTGGGGGGGGGGGGGGGCAACACCCTTCTCTTCCTTTGGGACTGTTCTCTTCCTTTGGGACTGGCACCCTGCACTACAACAGCCTGGCGCCAACCCCGCTGGCCCCGACAAACTCCCAAGCAACCTGGCGCCGCGAAGGAGCTCTCGACGGCCAGAGGTCCCGCAACTCTGGCCTCTGGACGATGCCCGCTCTGGGACCGTCCACAAAACAGTCCTGGGCAGAAACACTTGCTTCCGTCGGGCGGGTACGATCGTACCTCGGTCGGAGCGGCAGCCAGGTTGAAACTAGAGGGAAGAACCAGCACATACACATTAACTTCCGACGGTCTGCGCGGATATCTTGGATTTGCGCTGGGCCCCCCTCCCTGGCGCGCGGAGCGCGCCGGAGGCGGCGCCGGAGGCACCGCCAGGGGGCCCCAGCGCAGATCCAAGAAATCCGCGCGGAGCGTCAAACTTTTATGTTTATGTGCTTTGTTCTTCTTCGACAACAGCGCGAAGCGTGCACAAAGAGAGGAGGCGAGCGAAAGAGGGGCGGCCAGAAAGCCGGAGAAGAGGAGGTCGCGCGCGAGTGCGAGGTAATCCCCTCCGCCCAGAGTTATGATGATGCATCGGCGATATTTTCGTCCCGATGTGTCACGCACTAGTGCGAGGTAAATGCCCTGTCACCCTGTACTCGCTCGTAGAGGCCCCTTAGCTACCACCCCGTTTACTGACACCCCTTTTGCAGGGGCTTGGCTGAGCGTTCTCCCAAGTCTGCGAGCGGGCCGCCATTAACAGTTACCCGGTGGAACAGGAAAGACCGAGGAATTGCTCATGGGGGACGCCCTTTGCTTGGGGAACCCCCAACTCGCAGCCTGCGAATCGGCGATGCATCGCCGATAGATCGGCGACAAGCCCCCGGGTGGCAAAACCGCACGCTCCTGGGCGTGGTGGCCACTGGTGGCCTGACGGGCCCGCATCGGCGATCAATCGGCGATTGGGGGTCGGTTTCCTCCCGGGCATATTATCCGCTAACGTCGCTCCTGGCAGAACAGAATCGCGAAGGCCAACAAGCTCGCGCGCCGCGAGGTTGAGGTGCGGCAACTGTCTCGAGGGTCCCTAGTGTGGCACGATTGAGAGCTGTCGCGAAAGAAAACGAAAAGCAGCACCAACACGGTCAGAAACTGGCCGAACCGGCCGCGAAACTGGAACCAGCCGAAACCGACAGGCTGCAGCGAAGAGCGCAAAGAGCAGACCGAACTGGACCAACCGAATGAAACCGACCGAATGCGACCAACCGACTGCGACCAGCCGAACCGACCGAACCGCGGATTCCCTCGGTGTCGCTGCTGTTCGGCGTCCCGCTCGAGACATCTCCCATATCCACTTCGGGGATGCATCGTGGATCTCATCGCCAGCGGTAGACCCTACTGGTGATGGTGTCGCTTCTCCGCTCTTTGGCTGTTTCTCATCAGCTTGACGCCAAGTGAAAAATCAAGATTGCGGAACTGCATTGGACCAAGTTAGACCCGAACAAACCGACTTTATTAATCAACACTAAGCTGGACCCGCGCCAATGAGTTGCTTCCGCGACCCCCCCCCAAAAGCGAAAGTGAACGGATAGTTATAGACCCGGATGCTCACAAGTTGCGGCATCACTATTCGACACTGCAAGAAGAACGGGTATTATTTTCCATGGCGGACTGGGCTCGGGTAACGGTCTATGAACACCCACTGCTGCTGGCTGACACCCGGCCATCTTCCCACACCCCACGCACCGGCTGGCACTGCGAATGAAAGACAAACAACCACTAAACTCGTGAAACGCAGCCGTATAACAAATAGCAGTAGGAGCGGTAGTGTCATGCTAAACAAACCAGGGCCAACACGCTGGCCAAGCTGCAAGACGCGAGCTCTCGCGTGGAGCTCATGCGGTCGAAACTAACTACAAAATCCAGCACATCTGGAAGATATGGAAAACGGGAAGGAGTCGGAAGGGCGATTCGTGACCATGAAATGCAAACGGAAATCGTCGGCCCCCACTTGCAGGGGGTGAAAAGGCGTGTGAGATGAGTGGCTGCACCCCCTTCCCCCCGCTATTTTCCAATATGTTCCCCTATATTCTCAGAAGTCGATCTTCCATTGTGTCTGTGTGTGTTTTCCCCTCCTGACCCTCCCAGGGCCCATCCTGAGAGTCGCTCTTCGGGCCAGATCTGGCCGTGACGGTCGACGGGCAGCCTATGGGAGGCCCAGGAGGGAACGAAGACAACCGCTCATGTCCCGACTGGCCCCCCACCGCACCGATGCAGCAGGAGAGAGGGACGGTGAAACGCGCGCTGTCGCGACGCACGGGCCCGTCAGCAGGACGCCTCCGACCACATCGTATGTGGCGGCCACGTCTCCTCCAGCAGCGCCTCTTGCCATGAAGTCAGCGGGCCCCTCATTAGGTCACCTATCATACGCAGAAGGCATCTATACACCACCACCGTGCCAGACCAGAGACATCCTGGCTCTGGCATGGTGCAGACGCCCTCCTGGCCGAGGCCAGGAGGGCCTATGCACTATCCAAGGGCCCAAGATGGCCCTGACCTGGCACGGTGGTGGTGTGTACTCCAGATTTCGTCATAAAAGGGAGGGGGTCTGGACCCTCCAAGACAAGCCATTTCAGACCTCCCCTGTGGGCGAACCCTCCTGAACATCGTCCCCAGACCCCCCAGGCCCTCCAAGATAGCCTGGAAGAGACCCCCCCCCGAAATGAGACCCCCCTCCCTTTCTTACGAAATCTGGAGTAGATGTCTTCGTCGGATATTATATGGATCTACTTCTCTCGTCGCGCCTTCGTGACGCCCACCTGGAAAAAAGACCAGCAAACCAGCCCCCAGCCGCGGCGCGCGAAGCGCGGCTCTATCGCGCCGTCTGTCTGCGTGCCCAGGTGGGGCATACGGGGCTCTGGGGGCAGTTACAGGGCCTGGGCCCCGAGACTCTCCATCGATAGGACCAGCGCTTCGCCCTGGGTCCTGCTTCGATTCGACGCTCCCAGCGCCCAAGATAACGGCCCCCAGAGGCCCGAAAACAGCGAAAATGCCAATCCTGAGATCCGTCGTCGCAGCAACAGTGCAACAGCGGGGACAATCACGACCCCGAGCCCTCGATCCTGTCTTTGTCTGCTGCCGTGTCTTCTGGCTGGATCGACCTGCGAGGGCCCCATGGGGCACGACTCTAGAGGAAGAACAAAAAACGATAAACATACACTCGTGGCGCTCCGCGCGGATTTCTTGGATCTGCGCTGGACCCCCCTCCCTGGCGCGCGGCGCGCGCCAGGGGCGGCGCTGGAGGCACCGCCAGGGAGGCTCAGCGCGGATCAAAGAAATCCGTGCGCAGCGCCAAAAGCTTTATGTTCATGGCGTTTGGTTTCTTTCTTCGACGCCGACGCCGGGGATGCATCGGCGACGTTGGCGGCGTCGAGAAAATCGGGCTCCACATCGGGCCCCCTCGGCAGTGCACCGGCGATGCGTCGAGATCCTTCGACCACATCTGCTCCGACCCCATCCGGGAGGCCTGGACGCTCGGTGCGAGCAAAACTAAAACGCCCGGACCACAGGTGCTCCGTTGGCTTCCTGGCGGCCTCCGCGCCAGGCGGTGTGGCTGGCCCGGGCTCCCCCGGCAGCGCCGGCGACCCGGGCTCCTGCGGGGGGATCGGGAGTTGGGGTCTAGATGTTTCGGCGGCGAGCGAGGGGGGACGAGAAGGAGCAGGCCTTCTCAAAAGGCTCCTAAGCCTTTGCCGAAGTCAAAGACCTTCTCAAAAGGGGCGAGGGCTTCTGAGAAGTCCCGCCGCCCTTCCGAGAAGGCCTTCTCCTTCTCATTTCCCCCCCCCGCTCGCCGCCGAATGTTGGCATGCCAGACCACATGCAGGGGGGCGCCTCCTACTGAGGAAGATGGTGCTGGATTTTGGTGGTGGCGGCTACCTGCCTCTCGGCCAGCTGAGGAGCTTGAATCTTACCACCGTCGCCGAGGTGGATCCTCTGCCCTCAAAAGGAGGCAACCGCCGATACCCGTGTCGGTGCCAACCTCTCGGCCTCAGCGGACGGGGGATCTGGCCCAGGGGGGAACGGTGACGTGGAATCGACGAGGCGTCGCCCGCCGATCGATCGGCGAGGGGCCCACGATGCGCAAACCCCCACGCCCGTGGGCGGGCTGGGGCACCCGGGCTCCGATCGGCAAGGAGAGGGCGATTCGGGGTCGACGCTCCTTTCCCCCCCCTCGGAGCCAGGAGATCCGTCTCCCAACCATCCTGTGGTGTTGGGTCCTCGTTTTGAATGAGCAGCGCCAGGCGTCTCCTCACCTCGACTCTCCTCTCCGCACCCTTCCTTTCCTCCTCCCGTCATCTCTCCTAGTCCTGCGGCACACCCCTCACACGCGTCGTGGCCCTATAGTGAGCCCCAGCGAAGGCCCAAATGACAAACTTGACTAACGAGCTCCCGCCTCTCGGTGCGGCACACCTCTCACACGCTTCGTGGCCCATAGGGAACCCCAACTAACACCCAAATAAAGTTCGCATGAGTGTCCGCCGCTCATTTCGGCACGCCCCTCGCACGTTTTGTGACCCCATAGGGAGCCCCAACTAAAGCCCAAATGGCAAAGTTCACCTGAGCTCCCGCACTGAATTCCGGCGCATCCCCATGAAACGTCGTGGACCCATAGGGAGCCCCGACTACGGCCCAGATGCCAAACTTCACCAGAATTCCAGCCATCCATGTCGGCACACCCGTCGCCACAGGGAACCCCAACGAATGCCCGAATGCCAGAGTTCACATGACCCCCCGCGCTCTATTTCGATACATCCCACAAACGCTTCGTAGCTCCATAAGGAACCCAAACGAAGGCCCAACCGTCAAAAATGCACATGGGCTCCCGCCTCTCTTTTCGGCACACCTCTCACGCGCTTCGTGGCCCCATAGGAAGTCCCGAACTACGGCCCAGACCGAAAGGTTCACAGGAACTCCCGCCCCTGATGTCGGAACGCCACCCACGCGTTTCGTGGCCCCCATACATAACTGAAAAGTAAGTACCGCCCTTCATTTCGGCACATCGGCACACAAACACACAAACCGCACACTTTTCGTGGCCCCGTAGGGACTTCCAACGAAGGCCCAAATGCCAAAGTTAACATGAGCTCCCACCTCTTTTTTTTGGTACACCCTTAAAAACTTCATGATCCCATGAAAGGAGCCTCAATTAGCATCGAAATGGCAACATTCATATGTGTGCCCGCCTCTCATTTTGGCACGCCCCTCGCACGTATTGTGGCTCCCTAGAGAGCCTCAGTTAAGTCCAACGAGCCACACTTCACCTGAATTCCCGTCATTCATTTCGGCACACCCTTCGCCGTGGCCCAATAGAAAGCCGCAATTAAAAACCAAATGCCACTCATTTCGGACCACCCCTCACGCGTCGCGGCCCCATAGGGCAGCCAACTAAAACCCAGATGTCAAAGTTCACATGAGCTCCCACCTCTCATGTCAGCACACACACACACACACCACGCTCTTCCTGGCCCCGTAGGGATACCGAACGGAGGCTCAAATGCCAAAGTTCACTTGAGCTCCCGACTCTCATTTCGACGCGCCCCTCGCACGCTTCGTGGCCCTAAAGGAAGCCCCAACTAAGGCCCAACTGCCAAACATTCACATGAGCTCCCGCCTCCTATTTCAACACACCCCTCACGCGTCTCGTAACCCATAGGTAAGCCCACCTAAGGCCCCAATGGCAGGGTTCACATGGGCTCTTGTCTCTCATGTCCGAACGCACGCCACGCGCTTCGTGGCCCCCTACAAAAACATATGGAGTTTCAATTCAACGGTTCGCATGAACTACCGCCCCCCATGTCAGCACACACCCCACACGTGTCGTGGCCCCATCGGGAGCCCCGAACGAAGGCTCACATGCCAAAATTCATACGTGCTCCCGAATATCATGCCGGCACTACCCTCAAACACTTCCTGGCCCCAGACGGCGCCCCAACTAGAATCAGAGTGCCAAAGTTTGCATGCGCCCCCGCCACTTATTTGTGCATGCCCCTCGAACATTGTGTGCCTCCATAAGGAGCCCCCAGGTCAGGCCCAAATGCAACAATTCACATGATTTCCCGCCTCTCATGTCCGCACGCCGAGCACACGCACCGTGGCCCCATAGGGAGCCTTCACTAAGGCCCAGATGCAAACGTTCACATCAAGTCCCGCCTCTCATTTCGACACGCCCCTCCAGCTTGCCGTGGCGACATAAGGAGCCCAAGCGGCACAGTCCTCAGACATTTCGTGGCCCCCTAGGGGGCCTCAATTAAGACCCAAATGCCAAAATTCACATGAGCTCCCGCCTTTCATGTCGGCGTATACACCCCTCACACGCTTCGTGACCCCATAGGGAGCCCCAGCGAAGGCCCAAATAACAACATTCACATGAATTCCCGTTTTTCACGTCGGCGCAACCCTCGCACGCTTCGCGGCCCCATAGGGAGCCCCAACGAAGGCCCAACTGCCAAAGTTCACATGAGTTTCCGCCTCCCATGTCAACACACCCCTAACAAAAAATCGTGATCCCATAAGGGGGTCCAAACTAAGGCCCACATGCCAAAAGTTCACATGAGCTCCCGCCCATCACTTCGGCACACCACTCGCGCGCGTCGTGGATCCATAGGGAAACCCAACTAGGGCCCCAGTGGCAAGGTTCACGTGGGCTTCTGCCTCTAATGTCGGAACGCCCCCCACGCGCTTCGTGGCCTCATTTTTTGTAAAATGAGACCTCAATTCAACGGTTCGCATGAACTTCCGTCTCCCATGTCGGCACACACCTCTGACCCCATAGGGAGCTCCAACTAAAGCCAAACTGCCAGGGTTCGCATCAGTTCACGACTATCAACTCGGCACACCCTGCACAAGTTTTGTGGTTCTTATTTGGCGGTTCAAACGACAGCCTCTCATTTCGGCACGCCCCTCACACGTTTCGAGGCTGCCCCTGGGGAGTTCCAACCATGGCCCAAATGCCAGGGTTTGCAGGAGATCTGTCGCAAGGACTCCCCATGGCGGTTTGCATCCATGAACCGCTCATGCGCGTTAGAACGGGGGCGACATCTGGATATCTTGCGATCGCAAGAAGGAACACGCTCTCCGAACATCCGCTCGCTCCCCAGCTCGCGCCCCCATCCCGCCGAACTCTTGTTCGCCTCTGCCCATCCCGCTGTGCCCCCGTCCGTGCTGCTTGCCTCCTAACTTAGTGCTCGCAGCTGCGCATGGTTGGGTTCTTCACCAATTTAGTTTGTTTCTGAAATAACTCGAGTTAGCCGGGGGGGGGAAGTGCCAACCGATAGCCTGACCTTCTCGCACTGGGGAGACCTCGTTTGTCTGCGCACAGCAGTGCTGCGTCGCCCTTCTAACTTGCGCAACCAGCAAAGTCAAATTATCCGATAACCCGATGACCCAGGACTCAATGACCCAGGACCCGATGACCCCTCGGAAGGGGGGGGCACCCAGATATCCAGAAAAGGTTTACTCGTTGTTTCATACAGTTAGGTCCCGACCCCTTTCTTCGTCCCGGATTCATGACTGATGGCCCCAAGGCCAAACGGCAGTCCCCAGAAAAAAAATTCTCTCATCTGATTGACCAAAACACATATTGGAAGACGAAGGCCCTGAAAGGGGTACCAATACTTACCGCTAGTCCACGGACCTCTCCTGGGATGCGTTCCGATGAGAAATTCGAAGAGAATGCAGCCGTGGCGACGAGGGCTCTCCAGGGAGAGCGGCGATAGCGGTATCTTCTCATCCTCATTGGACTAACAAGAACAACAGTATAAGCATAATGTCTCGAACATTCGCGGGGATTTCATGGACCAGCCCTAGAAGCCCCCTACTGGCGCGTGGAGCGCGCCAGGGGCAGCGCCGGAGGCGCCGCCAGGGGGGGCCCAACGCCGATCCAAGAAATTCGCGCGCAGCTCAGAAAACAAAACAAGTTTGCGCAGTTTGTCTCCAAGCAACGCTTGCACGTAGAGGTGCTGACTTATGCCACTGGGTCCAGCGAGTGTGTTTAATGTCACGCTTCCGCCCGTAACCGGCTCCTGGCCACCTTGTACGCTAGGTGGTTCTGACAAAGCTTCGCCACTTTTGCTGCCCGTGGCTGCCTCGTGGCCGCCTCGTGCGTTGGGTGGGTTCGGGTAGGTTTCGCCACGTTGCCGCCCGGGGCCTCCTCGTGGCAGCGTGCGCTGGGCGGGTCCGGCGAAATTTCACCGCCGTGCCGCTCACGGCAGCCTCTTGGGCGCCCCGTGCGCTGCGTGGGGCCCGCGATTTTCCGCGTCGCCGCCCGTGGCCGCCTCGTGCGCTGGGAAAGCAAGTCTAACGATATTCTCATCATGAGTAACCGTTTTTCCCCAAACCGCGTTTGCACTTGGGGGGTCCTACCTGTATCGCTAGAGAACTGGATGCTTCCTGTCGCGTCGCCGCCGACATATTGGTTGGGTACGCCGAGGATCCGACGATGTTCTCATCATGAGTAACCGTTTTTCCCCAAACCGCGCTTGCACTTAGGGGCTCCTACCTGCATCGCTAGAGAACTGGATGCTTCCTGTCGCGTTGCCGCCGGCAGATTGGTTGGGTACGCCGAGGATCCGACGATATTCTCATCATGAGTAACCGTTGTTCCCCAAACCGCGTTTGCACTTGGGGGCTCCTACCTGTATCGCTAGAGAACTGGGTGGTTCCTGTCGCGTTGCCGCCGACATATTGGCTGGGTACGCCGAGGATCCCACCATATTCTCATCCTGAGTAACCGTTTTTCCCCAAACCGCGTTTGCACTTGGGGGCTCCTACCTGCATCGCTAGAGAACTGGGTGGTTCCTGTCGCGTTGCCGCCGACATATTGGCTGGGTACGCCGAGGATCCGCCGCATCGCCGCCCCGTTGCCGCCCACTTGAGGGGTCCGCCGAGGTTTCGCCGAGTGCCGCCCGTGACGGCCCGTGGCGTTCCCACCACGTAGCGCTTGCGCCGCCGAGACTGCATCGAGTTGAAGGAGGAGGAGGAGGAGGAGGAGGAGGAGGAGGAGGAGGAGGAGAGAGAATAGGAGCAGGAGGAGGAGGAGGAGGAGGAGGAGGAGGAGGAGGAGGAGGAGGAGGAGGAGGAGGAGGAGGAGGAGGAGGAGGAGGAGGCCTCTTGGGACGCCCCATGCCCTGGGCGGGTCCGCCGTAGCCCGTACCACGTGACCTGAACCACCCAGCTTGCCCCAAGGAGCTTCCACCACACAGCTTGCAACACATAACCTGCACATCTACAGTGCAGCATCTGATTGCTTGGGGCTCCCGCTGGCACGCAGTAGTCCTTCGATTGGTACGGACGAGGACAAACGGCACGAACAGAACCAGTCGACAGGCCGCGCGGTTTTGGGGGGATCTGGGCTGGGCCGCCTTCCCTGGCGCGCGGAGCGCGCCAGGGGCCGCGCGGACTGTCGATGGCGTATGCTTCTGCAGCTTCCCTTCTTCGACTCACATCGTCGGAGATCTGGGCCTGCCGCTGCCCCCAAGCTCCGTCGGCGCCGCCGCCGGCACCGCCGCGGCGCCAGGGGCCTCTGGCGGCTCCTCGGGCCAGTCGGCAGGCGCGGCGCCGCGAGGCAAGGCGAGGGCGGGCCCGCGCAGCCAGGTCTCCTCGCCGGCTATTTTCGCAGGCCGGTGTTTCATTTGCGGCAGGAATGGACGTTATGCGGGGGATGGGGGGCGGGGGGGGGCATCACGTAGCCCCCCACCCCGCCGACCACCGGGTTCGGCACCACAGACTGCGGTGCCGGACGCACTGCGGCGGTGCCCGGGGCGCCATGGGAGGTGGGTGGCGTTACGTTATGGGGTGGGAGAGGTGGGCTGGAAGGGGGAGAGGGGGGGGCATAAGGCACGTTATGGCCCAGAGAAAAAAAGCTAGCCATCGCGGGCCCAAAACGGAGTGCTTCTAGCATTCAACGTTGTGCAATATATGTGGTGCAATGAACTTTGAAAAACTTGGGGTTATCAACTCCACTGCTCGCGTAATTCTCCCACCCGCCCACCTGCAACCTGGTTTGCAAAACCCATGCGGCGGCGATTGCGATGATTGCTTGGTGCTGGAAGGTGCATCGCTGCGGCCGCGATAGCCCCCCGCATGCTCGGACGCACAGCGACAAACTAGATATTGTGTCATCTGTATGGTGCCATATATGTGGTGCAATCTGTGCAAAGCAAAGAAATGCAGAGCAAGACGAAGCAACGCACAGCAATGCCAAACAATGCCAAGCAGCGCAAAGCAATGCAAAGCAACGCAAAGCAATACAAAAGAACCTATGTGGTGCAAACGTCGACGAGCGGCGACGGCAGCGACGGGGCGGCGACGGCGACAACATTACTAGCCGCCGCAAGACCGACAGAGAGGCCCAGACGACGGGCGGCGACGAGGCGGCTTTGGGCCGGCGATGGCGGCAACATAGCCGCCAGAGCGGCACACCAGCCCAGACGACGGGCGGCGACGATGCGGCGACGGGGCGGCGACGGCGGCAACATGCCGCCAGACAGATACATCAGCCCAATTCCTTAACAGAAGTAAGAGCCCCCTAGTGCAAGCATTGTTTGGGGAAAACCACTCTCTTAGGATGAAGCTTCTGAGAAGTCTTCAGAATAGGCTGGAATAGGCAAGGTTCCGCAGTTTTTCGACCACCTCTGGGCGCGCAGCCTGCCGATGACTGCACGCGAGGCGGCAGCCAGAGGAGGCCAGGGCAAGGCCAACGCCTGTACTTGTTCCGGGATCCGCGGCGGATTTCTCGGATCGGCGCTGGGCCACACCCGCCCTGGCGCGCGCCAAAGGCGCCGCAAGGGGGGGGCAGCGCAGCAGGTCCAAGACCCTCGCGCGGACCCTCCGAAATCTCGTGTCCATGCGACGGCTCTTTCTTCTTCGAGCTGCGGGGGCATGCGCGGCCACGCTCGGGTTGGGCCTCCCAGCGACCCCCGACCGCCGCGCCCCAGAGGCCAACCCTGCGAGGGGTCACTTTTCCTCGCGGTCTCCTTCTGAGCCCGTTCGGCGTCTGAGCCCATTTGGCCGCCAAATGGGCAGCCGATAAGATTTAGTTCTAACAAGGTCGAAAGAATTGTGCCCGTGCGGCCGCCGAATGGGCTCGATCGTGAGTCCACTCGGCGGCCGATGGGCTCACGCATACGGGCCCAGAAAGAAACCCTCGGGTACCGTGTAGCCGATCTCCTCCAAGTACCGCCCCACGTCTATGTGGCACCGCATGGGGCACTGGCAGCTCCGGTCCAGCCAGGCGTCCAGGCAGCCCGCGTGGAATCCGCTGGGCCCTGCGTGCACAGGGAGCGGAAAGACGTGTGAGGTGTCTCGCTGTCCCCCTCCCCGCCGTTTCCCCACCTCCCTCGGGGGGCCTCTGGAAGAGCAAACTATACTGACGAGAGACCGAGCAGTTGTGATTCTCGTCTTCGGTGGAGCTCCCTACGGGGCGGGCGCGGGGCCGCATGCGGAAGTGCGGCTGTCGCCGCCGGGGCCTTCGGCGTAGCCCCCCGTAGGGCCACGAAACGTGCAAGGGGCGTGCCGAAATGGGTGCGGCGACGGCATGCGAACGCAGCCACTGGAGCCTCCGGTGAAGCTCCATGCGGGGACGCCGTATCGGGTGCGGCGACGCCATGTGAACACAGCCCCTGGGGCCTGCGGTGGAGCTCCCTGTGGGGCCACGAGACGTGTGAGGGGTGCGCCGCAATGGGCGCGGCGCCGACATGCGAAGACAGCCACCGGGGCCTTCGGTGTAATTCTCTGTAGGGTCCCGAAACGTGATCAGTGATAAGGGATGCGCCGAAATGAGTGCGGCAACGCCATGCGACCGCTGCAACTGGGCCTTCGGTGGAGATCCCTGTGGGGCCACGAAGCGTGCGAGAGGTGCGCTGGGATTGGTGCGGCGTCGCCATGCGAACTCAGCCACTAGGGCCTCCGGTGGAGGTCCCTTTCGGGGACACGAAACATGCGAGGGGTGCTCCGCATTGGGCGCGGCGTTGCGATCGCAGCCACTGGGGCTCCCCGTGGGGCCACGGAGACGTGTGAGTGGTGCGCCGAAATGGGTGCGGCAACGCCATGCGAACGCAGCCACTGGGGCCTGCGGTGAAGCTCCCCATAGGGCCACGAGACGTGTGAGGGGTGCGCCGAAATGCGACCGCAGCCACTGGGGCCTACGGTGGAGCTCCCTGTGGGGTCACGACGCGTGCGAGGGGTGCGCCGAATCGGGCACGGCGACGCCATTTGAACACAGCCACTGGGGCCTTCGATTGAGCTCCCTGGGGGGGCACGACGCTCGTGAGAGATGCGCCATAGGCGTGGTGGGGACGGTGACGAAGCCTACACCCTCCTGCAGCTGTCCTTGGACACGCTGCTCGGGGTCACCGGGTCGGCCGTTCCTGCGGCCGAGGCAAACCTAGTAGGCACCACGCGGCACCATGCGTCGTCTTCTGATGACCTGTAAGAGTGACCTGTCGCCAATGAACGGCTTTACAAAGGGCATCATAAGAGTGCCAATCGACGCGACGGTAGAGGCATGACTTCGCACGCCACCCGCTGCCGCTGCCAGGCTCTTTGGAGTGGCCATCGGCAGGGACCACAAAGGTCGACGGGTCGCGGCGGTCGCCCCTAGGATCACCCCTACGGCACCACTGCGGATTGAGGCAACGACTCGGTGACGAGTGGAAACATCGTAAAAGTCCTCTCTCTGCGTGGTTGTTGGACGGGCTCCGTGGGTGCCGGCCACTGCGGCACTTAGGCCGTTGCGGGTTTCTGTTGATTGTCGTTCTGGGGAGGTTTCCCAACGGGGGCGGGGGAGCACCGCATTTTCCACCCAGCGCCGTTTTCACGGGCACCTTCTTCACGGGTGTGCCGCTGGGGCTGCTACTGATCATTTTTCAACGCTGCCGCTTGATGCGGTAAACTAGCACGCGGCACCGCATATGTTTCCATATGTTGAGTGCCCTTTCTTCTAGTGGGTCTACTCCAGAGCTAGGGTGTCCCACCAACCAGTGTGGGCGTGGTGGGGACGCACGTTAGCACTGCCTCTGGGGCCTTCGGTGGTGCCCCCCGTGTGGCCACGAAGCGTGTGAGCGGTGACCCGACATCTTAGACATGCGGAGGGCTGAGGCAGGGGCGGGCGGGAGGAGAGGGGGGAAGCCAGGGGAAGGACGTGAGGTGCAGCGCGGAGCCCTCGTCTAAACAAGGACGCAACACCACAGGATGGTTGGGCACATCGACACAAACTTCTGAAGGCCCGCGCGGATTTCTTCGGCATGCGCTGGACCCACCCCCCTGTCGGCGCCTCTGGCGCCCTCCCGCGTGGAGCTCTGACAGCTTATGCTGATCCCGTGCTTTTCGAGTCTCAAGGCCTGCGAGGCGTCGGAAGGGCAGGGGTGGCCAGTCGAGGCCGTCTATGCTCCCATGCTCTCACCACCCCTCTCCGACATTAATCCTCTTTCTCATACTCGTCCCCAGACCTCCAAGGCCTTGAACAAGTAAATATGGACCTGTTTAGCAGCGGCTTTGGGGGGACATTATCGGGCTGCGAGGCAATAGAAAGACGGCTCGAGATGAAAGCCTGGACCTGGGGAAAAGTGTCGAGGCATCCAGGAACGCAGGACTGAACCATCATCAAGACATCGGATGTATGATTCCTTCTTCATTTCTGGAGGTCGGCGGAATGGCGTAGTGGAGCCTCCGGAATATGTGCTCGCAGGGAAGCTTCTTGACCAGCTCCCCGTCCACGAAGTCCGAGAGACACACGCGACAGGTGGGCTCGTCGTACCTTGCCTGGCTCCTCAGAAGAACCACAAGCGATACGAACGAACCGGACCTCCCGCATCGGCGCCGCTCCTCCCCACCTGGCGTGAGGACCGCGCCGGCAGCGGCACCGAGGCCGCCGCCAGGGGGGCACATCCGTCGATCCCAGCACACCGCGCGGACCTCCCAACATCCATGCTTGCTCAACCTTCCCGGACATCCGATGGCTTCATTTTTCTCGGGGGGCGTAAAGACTCGGGTTCGGGGGACTCGGGCTGACCTGAAAGGGGCCATCATGAAAATGACGCGACCCGGTTTGAAATTTGACGTGGAATCCCGCTGACGAAAACTGGACCGTCAAAATCCCGTCCTCAAAAAGCGCCAGCAAACCCGAGTTCCGGCGCACTCGAGCCTTCCGTTTTCCCGATGTGTCAACGCGGGGTCCCCAAAGTCCCGACCTGTCCCCAAGGACCGCGTCTCATCCCGAATAGGGTCTGGCGGTCCGGGGGCCAGAGGAGGGCCCCTGGAGGCCTGCGGCCGTGACATTGCTCACGACACGACATGTCTGAATTCTCGACGAGTCCTGGCGCCGCTGAACCCGGAAGCATCAAACGGACAACTCGAGGAGTTCTGATGATGGGCTCTGGAAGACGTATCGGGCGCCGCGGCCGCTCCAAAGCCCTCCGAGAGCGTCCCCGTCCCGGATCGCGACGGAACCGCTGACATCCCAGGCCCGACCAAGCCTATGCAGGCCTCTCTTCCCCTCCGAGTCCTGGCACCGCTGAACCCGAACTCCGGCAGCATGGCGGCAAGCTCCCGCCCGGCGTTCTGGCCCCGGCGGAGGGCCGCGCCGCTGGCGATCAGCAGATTTCTCTCGAGCACGTCCGAGGCGGTGGGCCCGCGGCCGAGCGACGCCAAGCGTCGCGTGAGGCCCGCCCCCACGGACAGCACGATGCCCACGGGGCCCATGCGCCGCACCGGCGGCGGCCCCAGCAGCCCGTCCCCGGGGCGCACGTTGAGCAGCAGCTGGCCCTGGCGAGTCGCCAGGCTGAGCCTCTGAGGTTGCTTCCTTACAGCGTCCCATCTGCAACGGTCGCTCCCCATGGGTGAGCGGGGAGGGGGGTGGGGGGCCCCGGGGAAAAAGTAGCGCTCGGGCGGGTGGTGTGGCACGCCGGGGAGGGGGTGCGCGGCGATCGCCACAACTTGCGCGCGGGCACCAACATACGGAAGGTCCAGGCCTGCACCCCTTACGTACGATGGTGGCCGTCACCAAGGGAGGGGGGGGGTCTGGACCAGGTAACGACGCTACGCGCCCGAGGATAAACAGAACTCCCTGGACGGAGAAGTGGCATGCGTGTTCATATCCACGCCATCGCGATCTGGATTCCAGGGCGCGACCCCGTGGGTGCGCGGTCGCATGGATGCGCTCCGCCCGGGGCACCCACGAGAAAGCGCCTCATACCCACGGGGTCACGGCCCAGGGACTCGGCCAGCGAAGCCGTGGATACGGGCGTGGGTTTGCGCCCTCGGGCAGCCACTCCAAAGTTCATTCCCAGCATTCCCAGTCTCTGCTGTTTCGCCCATCCTTTTTGCTCCCCTTCCGAGAGCCAGCCCTCCACGCTGCCTGCATCCACCCTCGCGCGACGCCTGTTGGCCTGCGCGGCTGAACGCGTGAATGCACCTGGGCACGAGCGACCTTTGGCGCGCGACCCGCGGATCGCTGCATGCGCTGAACCAGCAGCGACGTGCCCTGCATGCTCGGGTCCGGCCTCCAAGCGGCCCCGAGAGCCGCGCACCAAAGGTCACTCCGGCGGAGGGTCACCCCTGCGTGCAGCCGACCTGCCCCATCTCCAGGATCGTGACGGCCTCCCCCCAGATGAGCGTGCCCACCTCCGCGCTGTCGAGGCCCTCGCCGGAGCGCACGGTCACGGGCGATCTGACCGTGTGCCTTCGGGGGACGTCAGCTGACCAACTCACCGACATTTGCCCGGCCGATGCTTCGCACAGGACCGATGTCGATGCCCTTCCAGCCGAGCCAGGCAAAGGATGCATCGATCCTGGACTCAGCATGGGCCTGGCCAGGATCGGGGAGGTGGAAGGCGGCTGACATCGCCCGCTGCCTGCCCCCCACGGCGAAGTGGGCGGCGAGGAGGTCCTCGACTCGACCCGTCCCGGAGGCGACGCCCGCCGCCACGAGCTGCTCTCCGCACCTCGCAAGGCCAGTCAGCATCGGGTCGGGGAGTCGTGTCGGATCGGAACGCGCGTCGGAGCCTACTCCAGATTTCGTAATTATCCCAGTGCGACCCTACCTAGGAGTTGGAGCCCCTAGGAAAGCAGCATGAGTAGTAACAGTAAAGCTAAGCTAAAGCTAAGCTGCAGCTAAGCTACAGCTAAGCTAAAGCTAAGCTAAAGCTAAGCTAAAGCTAAGCTAAAGCTAAACTAAAGCTAAGCTAAAGCTAAGCTAAAGCTAAGCTAAAGCTAAGCTAAAGCTAAGCTACATCTAAACTAAAGCTAAGCTAACGCGAAGCTAAAGCTACGCTATCGCTAAGCTAAAGCTAAGCTAAAGCTAAGCTAAAGCTAAGCTAAAGCTAAGCTAAAGCTAAGCTAAAGCTAAGCTGCAGCTAAGCTACAGCTAAGCTAAACATAAGCTTAAGCTAAGCTAAGCTAAAGCTAAACCTAAGCTGAAGCTAAGCTACAGCTAAGCTAAAGCTAAGCTAACGTTGAAGTTAAGCTAAAGCTAAGCTAAAGCTAAACTAAAGCTAAAGCTAAGCTAACGTTAAAGCTAAGCTACAGCTAAGCTAAGCTAAAGCTAAACCTAAGCTGAAGCTAAGCTAAAGCTAAGCTAAAGCTTAGCTACATCTAAACTAAAGCTAAGCTAACGCGAAGCTAAAGCTAAGCTAACGCTAAGCTGCAGCTAAGCTACAGCTAAGCTAAACATAAGCTTAAGCTAAGCTAAGCTAAAGTTAAACCTAAGCTGAAGCTAAGCTACAGCTAAGCTAAAGCTAAGCTAACGTTAAAGCTAAGCTACAGCTAAACGGGAGCTAAACTAAAGTTAAGCTAAAGCTAAACTAAAGCTAAGGTAAAGCTAAGCTAAAGCTAAGCTAAAGCTAAGCTAAAGCTAAGCTAAAGCTAAGCTAAAGCTAAGCTAACGCTAAGCTACATCTAAACTAAAGCTAAGCTAACGCGAAGCTAAAGCTAAGCTAACGCTAAGCTAAAGCTAAGCTAAAGCTAAGCTACAGCTACGCTAAACATAAGCTTAAGCTAAGCTAAGCTAAAGCTAAAGCGAAACTAAAGCTAAGCTAAATCGAAGCTAACGCTAAACTAAAGCTAAGCTACAGCTAAAGCTAAGCTAAAGCTAAGCTAAACCTAAGCTGAAGCTAAGCTAAGCTAAAGCTAAGCTAACGTTAAAGCTAGGCTACAGACAAACGGGAGCTAAACTAAAGTTAAGCTAAAGCTAAGCTAAAGCTAAGCTAAAGCTAAGCTAAAGCTAAGCTAAATCTAAGCTAGAGCTAAGCTAAAGCTAAGCTAAAGCTAAGCTAAAGCTAAAGCTAAAGCTAAAAGCTAAAGCTAAAACTCCCAGGGGACTGGGGGAACCGCGGGGCGAGGACTGGGGGAACCGCCCGGGGCGCTTTCCACTGCCCGGCCCCTTTAAGCTAGAGAGTAAGAACCCTTCTAGGCAGAGCCTAGGTAGGGAATAAAAGGGAGGGGGTCTGGACCCTCCAAGACAAGCCATTTCAGACCTCCCCCGTGGGGAGAACCCTCCAAAACATCGTCCCCAGACCCCCCAGGCCCTCCAAGATAGCCTGGAAGAGACCCCCCCCCGAAATGAGACCCCCCCCCCTTTATTACGAAATCTGGAGTAGGTCACCTCACTTCGCGCATCGCGCGCCGAGATGCGAGGCGCACGATTCTTGCAGCGCCCTCGCGAGGCCACATTGGAGAAAGGCGCATCCCCAGTCCCAGCCGCAACTCGCGACGCGCGATGATCTTGCCCCCCTGGGGCCTGCGGGTGGCCAGGGGATCGGCCTGCACTGGTGCGGAGTCAAATTCGAACCGAATTGGCCGCGCCAGGATGCACAACGGCGCCATGCAAACAATGGCCGCACCGGGTAGTGGGGATGTTGTGGATCGCATCGGATCGAGCCAGCCGAAATCGATATCGAACCGAAACGAAAGGATCGAAATGGGACCTGCCTCACATAAATGTAACCTTTCGGAGGTCTGCGCGGATTTCTCGGATCGGCGCTGGACCCCTGGCGGCGCCTCCGACACCGCCCCCAGCGACCGCCGCGTGCCAGGGGAGAAGAGTTCAGAGCCGATCCGCGCGGACCTCCGAAAGTTGATCGTCAAGCCACGGCCACACGGATCGCTAAATAGTGAGAGAGAGAGAGAGAGACTCACTAATGCATGCCTGGGTGCACGCGGAGCGCTCAAGGAACAACCATGGAAGGACCTGACGAACAGCGTGTTCCTTTGGAACCTTAAACTGCTCTAACGCTTCAACAGACTGTCGACACGCGCATGCCGCCATCTCTTCCAGGTCGCCCAGCTTCGCGCCCCGCGGTGCGCGACGCGCGACCATCTTCGCGCCAGCGCCCGGCCCCCCCGCCGCCCCACCCTCGGGGATGGGCAGCAGATCTGGCCTGGACCGCGCCGCGCGGAGCGCGATTGTCCTCGTGCAGTCTGCGGGTGACCCAGCAGTGGGGGGGGGGTGCAAAGAAGGTGCCGATAACGCTACACCCTGCGAAATGCTTAAGAAATCATGGGTTAAGAAATTCATAGTCTCAGAATTTGAACAAAAACCCAACCTTTCTATTAAAATATAAAGATTTGAGACCATGGCCGAACACTTAAGTTTTCTTAAGCATCGCCTAAGGTGTACTTCGCAGACCTCTCCTGGGGTGCGTCCTGACCAGAGCTCCGAGGAGAGCCGGGCCGTGGCGGCGAGGGGCCCGCAGGAGGCCCGAGAAGGCGAACTGGCTCTCCAGGACAAGCGGCGGCATCTGCACCTCTCCTTCCTCGGAAGCTTGTGCCGGCGGCGCGCACAGGGGGGCCAGGGGAGAGGGGGACTTGGGAGTCCCAAAACGGTGCGGTGACTGACCGTGCGGTGACCTCGAAATCCTCCCAGACCTCACCGCACGGTCCGTCACCGCACGGTTTTGGGACCCTGGAGGCCCCTGTCGCCCGAGACATCCTTGGAGAAGGACTCGAGTCCCAAAACCGTGCGGTGACCCCGAATCCCCACCGACTCACCGCACGGTGTGGTCACCACACCGTTTGGGGGCCCCCAAGGGACAGGCGAAGGAGGCTTCGTCTTAGAAGGCGCCGGCCTTCTCTCTGAAGGCAGGGCCCGCGCCTTCTTGGAAGCAGGGGTGCTTCCATAGGCGAAGACAGAGCACAAACGTAATTGTTTGGCGCTCCGCGCGGGTTTCTTGGCTCCGCGCTGGACCCTCCTCCCTGGCGCGCGGAGCGCGGCAGGGCGGGCCTAGCGCGGATCCAAGAAATCCGCGCGGAGCGCGGATCTGGTTTTGATTTTTCGATTCCGCCCTCCTCCTGACCCCCTCTGCGCGTGGCCGATTATGTCTCCTTTCCCTCTGCGAGCCTAGTCCAGCAGCTCACCCAGCCCTCCAGGTGCCGCCCGCTGGAGCTCCGCACTCTCAGGCGCCGGCCCTGGCCCACCTCCAGGACCTCCAGCGGCACGAGCGGCTCCAGCTCCCCGACGACCTCGCTGTCGAGGTCCTCTCCGCACGACTTCGGTGGCAACTCATGGGAGCCCCCCATACCATCTTGGCGGCTCTTGCTAACCGACGCTAATCGACGCCAAATCCACGCTAAACGACGCTAAATTTGCGCTATCTCATCGACTCCCAAGCGCTAATCGACGCGAGTCGACGCTTAAGCCGGAATTGCGAGGATACACAAGGCTCCCATGATTTGAAACCGAGCACGACGAAGGAAGTGAGGGGCAATGTCAGGGGCGGGACCAGCTCAGGGAGGTGGGGGAACATCGAGCTTGAATCGGCGATATTCGCAGGCGGGTCGGTGGGCGGGGCAGTGGCTATCGGGCCCCCATCGGAGATCAATGGGCGGTTGGGGGTCAAAGCATCCCACCTGAGCCGATCCCCACCCAACGTCACCCCTGAGGAAGGGGGTGCCAAGTGCGAGAACGGCGCCCATGGTATCGCACTATGGTGGGACTTCCTTCGGGGAGGAGGGCCTCTCTCGGGGTGCTAAGGTGCGAGAACGGCGCCCCTGGTCGCACCATGGTGGCCTGGTCGCACCCTCTCCCGGGTCGGACAGGAAGGGGAACAGCAGAGGGGCTGTTGCGAGTCAGCTCAGATAGAGGACTTCCTCAGCGCCTCCCGGCGCCAGAGGCGCCAGTGTGTCAGGGAAAGCGCATGGCGGCGGCGACGAAACCAGCTGCATGCCACAAAGTTCGCACCCCCCTTTGCAAATACCCTCGTTCGTCCAGCCCGACTCTCCGCACTTCCGATTCACTTCGAGAACACCCACGTGAACAATACCCTGTGTGGACTCCATTCAGTCCCCGTCCCAACGCTGTACGGTGCATAGTGTTTCGGCTCTGACGACCGAAAAACTATGCACCCATCTCTGGGTCGAGGATCGACGACGCCTCGGGAGACGCCAACGCGGTATGGTGCACACAACTCGTCCGCAGATTCAGAGCGAGTCCATAGAGGCGTCCTAGGTGGGGTCGGAGTAGATGGGGTTGGAGGATCGCGAGGCATCGGCGATGAATCGGCAAGGACGGCGATGCATCGGCGACGCCGGCGTGGGGAAACACGGGCTCCACCACATCGAGCCGCATCGCGGGTGCATCGGAGCTGCGGCGCGATCCTCCGACCCCATGCTACTCCGACCCCACCTGGGAGGCCTATAGAGGCTCAGAGCGCGTCCTGCTCCCGCCTCACCGTCACCAGGGAGACCGTCCAGCCCACCGACCCGGCCCAGAAATGCGCGCTGGCCTCCGGCACGAGGGCGCCGCGCTGCGCGGCGGGGCCGCGGCCGAGCCCCCGCCCCTCCGCGGGAGGCTGCCGCAGGGGGAGGCACTGCCCGGCCTGAGCTGGATCGGATATCGTGAGGTCTGGTCGGGTCGGGTCGGAGAGGGACCGGGCCGCGTCCAGATCGGCGCGGAATCGGATAGGGATCGCAGAGCGAGCTCGGTAGCCTGCAGGCAGGAGGAGGGCAGCTGGGCTCGTGCCGGACCAACCTGATCGAGACCAGAATCGAAGCTTGGAGTCAGATCGGATCGGATCGGACCGTGAGGAACCCTGGACTCGAGCAGGAGAACACTGCCGCCGTCATCAACGGCAGCATCGGCTCCCGATGTTCGTCATCGCCTTCAGCAAGGCGAGCACAGCTTATCACCGCCATCATGGTAACACATCATCATCACCAACACTATCAGTATTGCATGTCTCCTTTCTTCCTATTATATCCGCCGACCCCTTGTGGGTCTCTAGGCGTGTGAGATACTTCCCTCCCCCCATATTCCCCCCCCCAGGGACCCCAAACCGGAAATTTGACCCCCCCCTCGCCGACGACGAGCGCGCCACGGGGCTTTTTTGGGCCCAAAAGGGGCTCCAGACGAGCCCAGAAGGCCTCCAGACGCTTCCAAGACGGCCCACGAGGGCCCCGAGACGCCAAACGAGCGCTCCAAGACGCCCAAGATGGCCCCAAGACGAGCCAAGACGTCTCCAAGACAGCCCAAGAGGCCTCCAAGAGCAGTCTTCAAAAGGGCCGAGGAGCCGAACATCGTCAATTTCCCATGGGAAAACGTACATTTTCATCATATTTGACTTGTCGGCCTTCACGGCGCAGACAACGGTCCAAGAGCACTTCAAGACCGCCCCAAGAGGCCCCAAAGAGGCGCCCAGGTCGGCCCAAGAGGGCGCTAAGACAGCCCAAAAGGCTCCAAAGACGGCCCAAAAGGGCCCCAAGAAGGCCCCAAGAGGGGCCCAAGAAGGGGAGCCCGAACCGACAATCTGGGCCTTCCGCCCCAAGACGGCCGCAAAAGGCCCCAAGAGGCCCCAAGAGACCCCCAAGACGCCCCCAAGAGGCCCCCGCAAAAACACCCAAGAGGCACCAAAACGGCCCCAAAACGGCCCCCAAGAGACTTCGAAACTGCCTCCAAGAGTCCCGCGAGAAGCCCCGCAAGAGATCCCAGAGATCAGGGACTCCTTTGCGTGTCTTGCGCTTCAGTGGTGCTGTCCAGAAATTCTAAGCATCTAGCTTTCCGCCCCCAGGAGCCACACTGAGGCCCCAAGAGTGCCCCAAAGAAGCCGTCAGATGCCCCCAAGTAGCTTCAAAACTGCCTTCGTGCCGCGAGATCCCACAAGGTAAGCTGCACTGAATGCTATCATAAGATATTGCATCCTAAACGAAGGTTACAGACGAAAGGTAAGCTGCATTGAATGCCGCGCTGCAGGGAGCAGACATTGCAAGACGAGAGAAACCGACTAATGATGCTTGACGATTTCGCGCTGCTATCACAAGGAATACAAGGGGTCGGCGGATGGTGCGTAAGCCTATCTAATCATTCGTCTCCATCTGCACACGCACCGCTGTTCTCTAGGTCACACAACTTCGTTTTCAGCCGCGCGCTCCGCAATGTCCGACACGCCGTTACCTTCGCCCCATCGCGTGGGCCACCCCGGAGAGGGGCATCTCTGCGGCCGAGGTCGCGACGCGGGAAGAGCGATCATCTTCGCGCGAAGCGCGATTTTCACGACGTACTTGGCACTTCCGAAATGGAAAGGTGATACGATGCTCAAGCCGCAAATCTTGCCCAAAGCAGGCAGCGGTCGCCGTTGGGAAAGCGACCCTTTATCTCAAGTGGACAACGTTTGCGGCGACACCGCCAGCGAGGAGCCCAAAACACCGTGTACGCAAGTGGGAAACGTCCCCTGACATCTGCCGATATGACTTTGTCAAACCGCGGCCCCAGATTTCCCGAGCCTTCTGCCAGGCCCAACTTCCCACCCAAAACCCATGTTTGTGACGGCCCCCGGGACCGACAACGGGTCCCGGACGCCAAAAACAAGGAACAGCACCCGGACTGAAAAACCTCGATTTCTGACCTCTCCTGGGGCGCCTTCTGACCAGAACTTCGTGGAGGGTCCAGCCTGGCCCCAGGACGACCACCAAACTACAAAAAACAAACGTCGAACCTCGAAGCTCGAAAGCAGTTTGGTCTGTAGAGGCCTCCTAGATTGGGTCCGAGTGGAGGGGTCGGAGGATTGCACTGGATCGCCGATGCATCAGCGATGCACCGGCGACGTCGGCGATGCATCGGCGACGTCGGCGAGGGCAAACTCGGGCTCCTTATCGTGACGCATCGCGGATACATCGGCGATGCGGAGCGATCCTTCGACCCCATCTATTCGGACTCATGGGAGCCTCCCATACCATCTTGTCGGCTCTTGCGAATCGACGCTTATCGACACTAAACCGACGCTACTCGACGCTAAAATCGACACTAATCGACGCTACATCGGCGCCATCTCATCGACTCCCAGGCGCTAATCGACGCGAACCGACGCTAAAAACTGCATTTGTGAGGGTACACCAGGCTCCCATGATGTGCTACGGGAAACTCGAAACTCGCAAGCAGCTCGGTCCGCGTGCCCAGCCAGGGCCGCCACGACGATGCATCGGCGACAACGGCGTGGGCAAACTCGGGCTCCACATCGAGCCGCATCGCGGATGCATCGGCGATGCGGAGCGATCCTTCCACCCCGTCTACTCGGACCCCATCTGGGAGGCCTCGAGCCAGAGTGCCCAGCCGGGGCCGCCGTCGAAGCCGCGCCGAACGTCCGTCGATTCGAGTCGCCCCTGGGTCGAACCCGAATCGAGCACCTGAGAAAGCAGTTCTTGAGCAGGGACCGACCGTCCCGGCATATTCCTGTAGTCCTACCACGACATGTTCTTGGAGCCCAACAATGTTCTAAGAACAAGCACGATGATCTTAGAACACTAACCCGATGTGTGAAACTAAGACAGTCTCACCCAGAAATCTTCTAAGAACATTTCGCGCATACCACACAAGGTTCTGAGAACATTGTTTCGTGGGGCTATAGGCGAGCCAGGACGCTTCGCCACTGCTTGAAGTTCGGTCTGAGTGCCCAGCCAGGGCCGCCACGAAGGACTGCACGCCGCCCCGCCGCGCAGGCGCGGCCGGCGGGCCGCCGCCGCCGGCCTCCGCGGGGCCCTCCCGCCACCAGGGGCCCGTCCGCCACATGCCGGCGCGCGCGGCCGCACGGCGGCGCCCAGGGCGCGGCGCGCGCGGCCTGCTCGGGGCGCTGCCTGGCCGACGCCCTCCGGTGGTGACCTGCAGTCGGCCCGTATCAGAAGGATGCAGGATGAGGATGCGATGGGTCTGGGGAGGCCATCTCGAAGCTTTTCGAGCGGGGCGCGGCCAACGGAAGTGGCCAAGGACGGACCGAGGAGGCAAGGATGCAAGGGTACCCTTGGGAAGGTTGCCCATCCTTACTATGCACCTGGGAGCTGGGAGCGGGCAAGAGTTGTATCCACATCCACTGCGTCTTGGAGTGTCGGCTTCCCTGCCCCAGAAGCCAGAGGCGCAGTGCAGATGGATCAGCATCTGGCCCTCAGGGGGCCAGAGATTATTGTCCATGTCCACTGTGCTCCTCGGCCTTTCGGTGCCCCTTCCCAGGGAAGTCCTGGACGCAGAGCATCTGGATGCAACGCGTGCCCGCGCCTAGGGCCCCGCTCGACCTGACTTCAGCCCTGGTCTTCTGTGGGAGCTCACGGGCGCCTCCCCTGGTCTCTGAACCCCGCGTGGATCGCTCCACCTCAAGCGCTCGCGGCTTCCCGATAGCGCAGATCGTGCGAAAAATCGGCCGGCTGCAGGCCCGCCGAGGGCGTTCAGCCTGGAGCGCCCGCGCCGAGATCGCCGCCCGGTAAGGAAGGCGCCGAGGGGAAAGCTCCTCCTCCCTGCGCCTCGTCCTCCTCCCTCCTCCTCCTCCTCCTCCTCCTCCTCCTCTTCCTCCTCCTCCTCCTCCTCCTCCTCCTCCTCCTCCTCCTATTCTCCTCCTATTCTCCTCCGGAGCACCCGAGCCGAGATCGCCGCCCGGTAAGGAAGGCGCGGAGGGGAGACACGGCTCAGGGGCGACACGCTGACGTGGACTCGGCGACACATCGCCGTGCTTACCTCCACGGCTCTGTGCCAGCGCACGGGAGACTCCCATGTCGTCTTGCTGGCTCTGGCGAATCGACGCTGCGCGACGCTAATCGACGCACCTCGACGCTAAATCGGCGTCTTGTCGATTACAAGCCGCCAGCGCACGCTAAACAGTACTAATGCACTCTACAGACGGACCTTCGAGAACACACCAGGTTCCCATCCGACGCTACCGAACGAGCCCCTTCCATGACGACCAAAACACACAAGAAACATCGAAACCAACATTGGACTAGGATAACAGTCGGAGCTCTCTGATAATCTGGGGGTTCTTGAAAACATGGATCGGCCTCCGCGGCTTTTCCACAGGGAACTCCGGAACGCTATCAGTCCCGGGGCACAGAGATCTAGACCTCCATGTGGTCCACACTACCAACACAAACACGACGTCGGAGAGATCTAGGGAGCCAGTCCGCCTCGACTTGGGTTTGAGCCAGCACGAGGCTGCAGACTTCTTCCTGGGCGGCTGAGGCGCGCAGCGGCACAGTCACCACAAACGGTAGCAAGGCCGCGTGGCCTGCAGGCCCAAGGCTCGGAACGAGAACGAGAGCCACCACTGCGGGGGGAAAACTGGTCATTTCTCCTGCACGTCGACCTCAATCCGATATGGATCGGGGACGAACGTCTGCCCCTGCGTTAGAAGAAGAAAGCACGCCGTAAACATTAAACTTTTGGCGCTCCGCGCGGAACGCCGAACATGTACGTATACGGCGTTTTTGTCTCCATGTTCGATGCATGGCGGTGTTCGAGACCTCTGGGGCCCGATGGTTGCACAACCAAAACCAATCGGTTGACTGGGTGGGCGTAGGCCGCCTCCCAAGGCTCCCCTGCGCTCCTCGTCGTCGTCGCCAGAGGCGTCGTCGCCGTCGGCAGCAGCGTCGACATCTGCGTGGCCGCCGCCGCCGTCGACATCGGCGTCGGTGGCACTAGCGACGGCGACGGATCTCGACGTCGTCGGCATCGTCGAATGCCCGATGTCGAGGTCTTGATCACAACGTTGGAAGGGGCCCAGGGAGACACAGACAAGTAGACACAACTCCCAGGATTCCCACAGGTTCCTATAATTTCATAGAAATCGTCGATTAATCGTGTCGGTGTGTGTTTCCCCTCCTGAAGCGTGGGCCCCAGGAGGTCTGGACGCCCCATGACCAGCTCTCCAGCCAGGAGCCCACTCCTGACGGCCTCAGGGTCCAACAATGCCTCCTCTCCTCCATTCCTTGTCCTTATAGATATCTTCTCCCTGTCGCACCCCGAGGCTAGTTTTTAGGGCGGACCAGGCGTTTCGCCTGAGACGTCTTCATTAATTGTGACTCTGAATCTTTAAAACATGACAAGAGTTTCACAGATGTAGGGCGTGTGGTTTTCAAACTGTGGTTCTCGCCCCAGCGCCGCGCACATTCGAGCAAGAGTTTCACGCATTGACAGCGGGTGGTTTTCAAAATGTGGCTCTCGCTTTAGCGCCGCGCACACTCGTTTGCAAGAGCTTCACGGATCGAGGGCGGGTCGTTTTCGAAACGTGGCTCTCGCTTGAGCGCCGCGCGCATTCCCTTTCAAAGTTTGCAAGAGTTTCACGGATTGCGGGCGGTTCTTTTATACAATGTGATTCCCGCCTTAGCGCCGAGCGCATATATTTTGAACATTCGCAAAAGTCTCACGGGTTAAAAGCGGTTCCTTGTTTAAATGTGGCTCTCGCCTTAGCGCCGCGTACAATCGGTCATAAGCTTTTGAAGATTGCCATGGTCAACGTACCAGAAATCGTGTGTTCGGAAAGATTCGGGATTATGCGGCTGCAACAAGTATGTTGGTACGCGGTGTTGGAATCCCAAAAACGACATTTTGGTACGACCAAAGACAATCAATACGCAGCAGTCAGGTTTATCCGTGGAGTTGAAGACTACCAAGAACAAAGTTTTGGCATGCTCCAGGGCCTTCAAGCGTTTGTCCTCCAACGAGGCATTTCCCTCAATAAAAATGAACCTTTGTAGTAGCCTATGAAGAGAGGGAACTTGGAGGGAGGGTTGACTCCAACATCGTTGATGACTCTTGGGTTTACACTGGTCCTCCTCCTTCTCCTCCTCATCCTCCTCCTCCTACATGGAAGCTGAAGATGAACATGCACAAACTAGCGTCGTGTTGCGGTCGGGGCGCGGGGAAGTTTGGGTGCGACGGTCAAAAACGGCACCTGGACCTCTCCTGGAGAGCGTTCCAAGCAGAATCTCGAGGCGCGCCGGGCCTCGGCCTCGGCGCTTTCGTCCGGCCCGATCATCGTCCGTGGGGGCAATACTCAGACCCCAGACCCATCCCAGACGCATCCTACTTGCAAGGTGCGAGCAATGTTGACCATCGGCGAATGATTGCATCACTGCGCCCGCGTGCCGCGGACGACCGATCAGGATGCAGAAAGTGCCCTACTGCGGACTCGCGGGCCTTCGTGGGCTCTCTGGGATGGCTGGCCAGCGAAACAAACACGCGAGAGGACAAAATACCCTTCCGAGGGCCACACTGCCACAGGAATGCAGGAAGCATGCGTCGCGAGAAACAGGACACAAAGGTACCCTTGATTCGGCAGGGTCGACCTACTAATCTGGGCCCCGACTGTATAAGAATCCCCGTGTCTCACACTGCGTAAAAGCGAAAACGAATACCATGGAGCATCGCGTTGACAGCGGCATGACAACGACGATGACACAGATAACACTGACAATCTCAAATGACTCATGCGGAATGACTGCGCTGTGGAATGGGTCTAGGTTGGAGTGAATTCCGGGTCTGTGCATCGGCGTCGTCGTCACTGTCGTGGTCGTTGTCGCCGTCGCTGTCGGCTGGGTCGCCAGCGACCCGAGAAATCCGCGCGGATCTCCGACAACTTCTGTTTCAGTCGAGCTTCCTTGGAGATGACACGCGAGAGGGCACGAGACATCCTCGGGAGGTCCTGTCTCACCCATCGCGCTGCTGTTCAGGTCACGTCCGCGTCGAATCGATGTCGAACGTGTCGAACCCGCCTCGGATCCACGTCGAATTCGCGTCGAAGCCGCGTCGAGCCTGCATCGGAACACAAGAGGAAAAACCGCCAACTCAAGGACAGACGAGATCCCCCGAACATGCAAAGCAACGGGACCCGTCCGAGGCCCACATCGCCCCAAGCATATCAAGGACACGGGAGCAACGGACAGAGGTCCCGCGCATAATGACACAGCGACCTTACGTCGCGGCTTACGCAGGCCGCCACTGTGACTGGAAGGGTCGACCTGCTAATCAAAACTCGACTGTGTTAGAGGCCTGCAAGACCGGGTATGAGTCGATGGGGACAGACGATCGCGCCGCACCGTTGATGTATCGGCAATGCATCGGCTACGTCGGCGATGCATTGGCGTTGGCGACGTCGGCGTGGAGGAAATCGGATCCTCCGACCCCCCCACTCGGACCCCATCTGGGAGGCCTGGATGCATGCCGTGTTCGGCTACACGCAGGAGTGAGCCCCCTGGACAAAGGGTGACCTTTGGGTGTGCGGCTCTAGGGGGCCGCGGAGGGGCGAGATCCAAGCGCGTCAGCCAATGCTGGGGGTACCCCTGTGGGCCCGCACCAACGATCACTTCGGCGAAGGGCCACTGACACGATACCAGGACGAGGAGAATTCGGGGGAGGATAGGTCGAGACTCTCTGAGACCCCGCGGCTCTGGAGAGGATGTATCGGGCGCCAGAGCGTTCCAGAACGCTCTGAGAGCGTTCCGCAACGCTCTGGAACATATTCATCCGCGTCCCAGCTCCGTTCGAGTCACTCTTACGCTTGGCAGGCGCGTGTAGGAGAAGAAGAAACACGACGTGAACACAAACTTTTGGCACTCCGCGCGGATTTCTTGGATCCGGCGCGCGCGGAGCGCGCCAGGGGCGGCGCCAGAGGGGCGGCGCCAGAGGCGCCGCCAGGGGCAGTCCCAGCGCGGATCCAAGAAATCCGCGCGGAGCACCAAAAGTTTATGTGTATGGTGTTTTTTTCTACTTCGAATTCTGGAACTCTCTGGAACGGATCCATCCGCGTCCCAACCCCGTTCGAGTCACTCTTACGCGTGGCAGGCGGGTTTGGTCCATGAAACCTGGGCGGCCCGGATCGTCGTCCCAAAACTGCCCCCCAGGGGCCTCCGAGAGCGCTCCGAAGAGACCCCAAACATTCTCCACATCAGTTTCGTCATGAGCGCCGTCGTCGTCGTGGTCGTCCACCTCCAGGGTCGGCGGCACTGGCCGCCGACCCTGAAGGTGGACTCGCCGGCCCAGCAGCGGCACACATAAATAAAAGTATCCCCCATATTTTCCCATATTTTCTGGGTTTCTGTCTTCCCCCACACTTCCCATATTTCCCCATATTTTCTGAGGAATCGACGATTCATTGTGTCTGTGTGTTTCTTCCCCTCCTGAAATCTGGGCGGCCCGGATCGTCGTCGCCCAGCCCCGCTCGGGTCACTCTTGCGCGTGGCAGGCGTGTTCGGTCCGTCACATCTGGGCGGCCGACGCCCGCCGCCTGCGCGCGCCTTGCCGCCGTCGTCGCCGCCGCCGTCGTCGTCGCTGTCGTCGTCGTCGTCGTCGTCGTCGTGGCCGCCGTCGTGGTGGTGGCCCTCGTCGTCGCCGTCGTCGTCGTCGCAATCGTCGTCGTCGTCGTCGTCGTCGAGCGGCGGTGTTCGACGGCAGGCGGCGGCCCGCGGCCTCCTCGGCTCTCCGCCGCTCGGCCTGCTCGGCCTCCGCCGCGCCGCGCACGCCGTGCGGCGCCGGCGGCGCGTCCTCTCCCGGGGGCCGTCGGCGCCGCCGCCGCCGTCGGTCGTCGTCGCCAGTCGTTACCGCCGCCGCTGCCCCAGTGCTCCAACAAAAATTGGAGCGCCAGAATCTTGGCCGTTTTCGGCCTCCAGGGGCCCTCGCAGGACCACGGGACCGTCAAAAGAAGATTCAGGACGAAAAACCGGTCCCAGGGAAGTGGTCCAGATCTTGGTCCAGACGTCCAGACCTCCGAGGCCCATGCATCGAAAAAATTGGAGCAGCCGGATGTCAAGGAACGCCGACGTCGTCTTCACCGCCGCCGTCGCCGTCGCCGTCGCCACTGGTTTATCGTCGTTGCCGCCGCCGCGGCCGTCTTCGTCGCCGGCTGGCATCGCTGGCGTCGTCGACGTGGTCGTCCGCCTGCCGTCTCCTCGTCATCGTCGGTCGTTCACCATCTTCCACGTAATCACCGTTTTTTTTCAATCTGCTGAATATGCTCCTTCCTTCCATCCACCTGCTCCTCCTCCTGGTAGTCCTCCTCCTTCTCCGCCTCAGCATTAGTATCTTCCCCTTCCTGCTATCCAGGATGAGAAGCCACATGAGAATGAAGCGAGCGATCTTCTGTATCCTTACCCATCCTCCTTGCTGTTCATCCTTCTCCTGTTCCTATCCTCTGGCCCTTCTTCATCCACATGCTCGTCCT